TATGCATCCATGTCTGAATGTATCTGGCGTTGTCAATGCACCAGATACATTCGGATGCTCCAAAGTTGAATGCACGATGATCGCTCTATACTTCCAGAATGTCGAAGTGGAGGGACATAATGACACGCACACACACACACACACACACATACAGCAACCAACAAGAAAACGAAAGATGATGTGAACACACACACACACACACGCACACACGCACACACACACACACACACACACACACACACACACACACACACACAGACGCGTGCGCGATGGCGCCAAGAAGATGCGTGAAATACCTACCATTTTCTAATTAGAAGTACTGAGGCCACTTCTCAAGGGCATCACAGAAAGATGTGTGCCCCTCGTGAGGGCATTTCAAGGATGGACCGACGAAATGCAACCAGCGGCCCAGTAAGGGCATATCGGAAAGTTATGCCCCGTGCTGACAGGGGCCTGCCGAAAAGTTCAGAGGCCCGAGGGGCATAACATGGTAAGTCGGCCTTTACAGGGGCACGCCACAAATAAACGCAAACTTCAGGGGCATTTCGAAAATTTTCCCTTTCTGGAAAGAACACGACCTCATCTATGGATTCTCAAAATTTCAGATTTTTGTGCATGTTTGTTCAAGCACAGAAAATCGCCAAAGTTGCCTCTTGCAAAACGCCTATTTCGTTGTGCCTGACCTCCCTGTTTTGAGGAGATGCACCTTGACACAGACGTGGAAGCCCACTATACCGCAGCCTAAGGGCTGCGAACTGGCCGTCCCCCCCCCTCAAGTCATCTGGGTATTCCCCGTATGGATGCAATTTACCCAAAAAAAAAAAGGAAAGAAAAACTCCAACCCCTGATATGCCGCTTTTTTTTGCGGTCACCTGCAGCATTAGCTGGCAACCCCAGAGTTGGGGGTGTAAATTGTTTGCTGGACGAAGAATTGCGTGTCCGTGTTTGTGTGTGGTTGAGTCCATTTGAGTGCGGATTTTGTTGGCGTGCTTGAGTGCGTCCTTGAGTGCCGGTTTTGCGTGCTTGAGTGCGTCCTTGAGTGCCGGTTTTGCGTGCGTTTTCTGTGTTGCGCAAGCACGCGGTTTCGAACTCTTTGTGTGTGCGTTGTTGTGTGTTTTGCGTGCGTACGGGTTTGGTTCCTGTGCGTGCTTGCTTGCGTTCGGTTTTTGTTTGGGCGCGTGTTTGGGAGCGGGTTTGGTTGGTGTGCGTGCTTGCGTGCGGGTTTGGTTTGCGTGGGTGCTTGCGTGCGGGTTTTGTCTGGGTGCGTGTTTGCGAGCGGCTTTGGTTTGCGTGCCTGCTTGCGTGCGGGTTTTGCCTGGGTGCGTGTTTGCGAGCGGCTTTGGTTTGCGTGCNTTTTGCCTGGGTGCGTGTTTGCGAGCGGCTTTGGTTTGCGTGCCTGCTTGCGTGCGGGTTTTGCCTGGGTGCGTGTTTGCGAGCGGCTTTGGTTTTTGGTTTCCGTGCCTGCTTCCGTGCGGGTTTGGTTTGCGTGGGTGTTTGGGTGCGGGATTTCTGCTTGCGTACTTGCTTGAAGGTGTAATTTGTATCCGGGCTCGCGTGCGGTGTGCGTGCTTGCTTGCGTGTGTGATTTGTGTGGGCGCGTGCCTGCCTTTTTTGTTGGGGCACGTACTTACGTGGTGTGGTGTGCGTGCTTGCGTGTTGTGTGTTTGCCCGTGCTTGCGCGTCGTGGGTGCGCGTGCTTGCGCGTTGTGTGTGCGCGTGCTCGCGCGTGTGTTGTGCGTGTGCGTGCTTCCATGTGTGTTTTGTATGTGTGCATGTGTGCGTGTATCGTGTGAGCGCATCCATCTCTATTTTGTTTGTGCGCGTGCGTGCGTGCCTGTTTTGTGGGTGCGCGAGCGTGCGTGTTGCGAGTGTGTGGGCGTGCGTGCGCACGTGCTGTACGCGCGTTTTTTTTTTTTTTTTGGGTGTGCGTGTGCGCGCTCTCGCGTTTGAGTGGGCGCGTGTATATGTGCGGTTACTGAGATTTGTTTTTGGGTGTGCGTGTGCGCGCTCTCGCGTTTGAGTGGGCGCGTGTATATGTGCGGTTACTGAGGTTTGTCCGAGTAAGAGCCCGCGTGCGTGGTTGTGGGAGCGTGCCTGCGGCGGCGCGCGCGCGTGTGCGCGTGTGTGTGTGTGTGTGTGTGTGTGTGTGTGTGTGAGAGAGAGAGAGAGAGAGAGAGAGAGAGAGAGAGAGAGAGAGAGAGGCTGTCAGGCACGATAGCCTGTCAGAGAAGGCAGACGGGAAAGATAGCGCCCGTGATGCCTGACGGGCATGGATGCTGTAATCAATCAACATACCACAACCAAGTCCATTCAGCCCATTGTCGACGCGAAGGAGGGGGTATTTCACACCATAGCAAGCGAGCGGTCGGACTTTCCGCCGCACCCGATCTATGGGCTTTGACTCGCAGCGGGTCGTTGAGTGAGGTGGTCGTGGCCCTTGCTGGCTTGAGGCGAAATGGCGGGAACGTGAACGCACGCAATGGTTTGGGAGTGACGGCGCTGCATCTCGCTGTCTGGAGAAATCATGTACCCATTATCAGGCACCTTCTCGGAGCTGGAGCGGACCCCAACATCAGAGTAATTGTCTCCTTACGTGTTGAGGTGGTGGTGGTGAGAGTGCTTGTGTGATCATCATGGTCGTGGTGACGTGATGCTGGTGGCTGCGGTGGTGATGATGGAGGTGGCGGTGGTGGTTGATGATGATGGTTGATGATGATGGTGGATGATGATGGTGGATGATGATGGTGGTGATGGTGGATAATTGCGGTGGTGATGGCTAATGGTGGTGGAGATGGTGGTGAGGTGGCTCTGGCGGTGAAGATGGTGGTGAGGTGGCTCTGGCAGTGAAGATGGTGGTGGTGGTGGATTATGATGGTGGTGGTGGCGGTGAATGATTGCAAGTGAGTATTACTACCGGCAGGCCTTGGGCTGTTATTGGAGCCGTGTTGGCATCAGCCGAAGTGGCTTACGGCGATAACGTCGTGTGCTCGGCTCCTGCGGGGGCTCGCCCAGAACTGTCGTTCTCATCGTGTCAGTGGTTCGCCCAGCTCTGTCGACCATCGCCACTCGTCTGGCTGGACGTGTGTATCGTAGGAGCTGGCTGTGATCTGTCCTTTCCCTCTGAGAAATGGAGGAGTAAAATGGATTTTCGGCGCGCGCGAGATAGACATCTACCTTTTGCCTGCGGCACGCCCTGCAGTTCTGTGGCTACGTATAAATGTAAAAAAAACTATTACATAGTCACATAGCTACCAACTAAACGAACACTCGCGGCCAGTCCTCTTCTCCTCTCTCTCTCTCTCTATCTCGGCCAACCAGAACCCAAAAGGAACAACCGGCCTGGCTGCTCACCTAGCTTCTCCACCCCTCTCCAACCTCTCACGACCTACCTTGCCTACCTTGCCGGCGCAACGCGGCAGCCATTTCGCGAGGCGTAGCGAAGGCAAGGTAGGTTGTGAGAGGGCGGGGAAGCTAGAGGAGCGGTTGGCCCGACGTCCTTTTCGGGTCCTACCGGTAGTTGACAGCTAAGTACACACACACACACACACACACACACACACACACACACACACACACACACACACACACCATCGGGGGTGTCCATGGTTGAGCGGGTGTGTAGAGTGGGTTTTATGACTGTGTCAGATTAGTTTCTCAGATCTACTACCGTTCTTGTCAAGGGTTTGGACCGGCAGTCTGCTAGGATTGCAAGGTTGGTGTGCGTAAAGTCGACCACTTTTCTCGGGGGTGTCGCTAACTCTGGGCGATGTGGTGAGTCCTTATCCATAAGTCAAATGAATCCTGGGCAGACTGTCGGGGTTCAACCTCCTGACGAGTCGGTGAAAGTCCGACGAAACAGTCTGGCACAGTCATGCTTTTTTTGAGTGTATTGCGAATATTACAACACACACACACACACACACACACACACACACACACACACACACACACACACACACA